TCACCTCAGCCTCCCAAAGGCGCGGGATTACAGGTTGAGCCACCGAGCCCGGCTTACCATAGCTATCTTAAACAAAAGCTGGCAAGAACGAATCCTCTAAACATCCCCTAGTGAAGAATTCAAAATGATTCCCTAAAGCGTCTTACATAATCTTTCCTTTCTCTTCAAGTTTTCAAGACATTCATAAAAAGGCCCGCTTACCTACCTACCCTTACTTCCAGTTATTACTCTTTATAGTGCTGTTGTATTCGGGCTGGTCTCCGACTGCCTCCTTTTCACACGACACAAGTTCCACCTCCTGAGCTGTTTTGATCGTTAGCGCCTACCACAGAGCTAGCCAGAAATACTAAGTTCCCCTCCTAGGCCTTCAATGAGGTCACAGTTCTTTTGCAAGGAAGCCTTTCCAGATTTCTGTTATTTGTCCTTTTCTTATATCGGCACGAATGAACTAAGTCTCTGCAAGATGCAGAGTGTTGCCACTTCCGTGGAAATCAGCACACTGTATGTAGCCTATACTAACTGTACACTTCGGTACCGGTTTTCTTCCTTGGACGCTTCACCTTAGGCAAGAACCATGCCCTGGGAGCCTCCTGTACCCCCCGAAGCATCTAGCATGGCGTGGGGCGCAGAGCCGGTGCTTCACACGAACTCGCCCGGTCGGCCCTACCCGACTGCCTGGACCCACGGCGGGAGGGGGCGGGGGGAGGGATTCGAGGCCCCAGGTGTGTGAAGTCACCCAGGTGACGCAGGGCCGGGGACCCGGCCGCCTCTCCTAGCTGGGCGTCTCCCCAGCGCGGCTTCCTCCGCCCTGTAGCTTCCCGGCCCCGGGACCAGGAGGGCCCGATCGCCGACTCTCCTCCCTGTACCTCCGGCCTGCGCCCACTTCCCGGCGGACCTGACAGGTCTCGTCGTCGTCCGTGCCCGGGCGGGGTCCAGCCGCAGGCCACCGGCGGGGGGCGGCGCGGGGGGAACGGAGGCAGCCCGAGGGGTGTCGCGCGCGGGCCCGAGCGCCACTCACCCTGCGTAAACCACCAGAACCGGGGCTGCCCTGCGCGAGACGAGGAGAGGCGGCGAAGAGCGCTGAGTTGCGGCCGGACAGTGGCGGCGCCGGCACTTCCTGCCTCGGGGGGCGGGGCGGCGGCGCACCGGAAGGCGCGGCAGGTCCACCTCCGGGGGGATGCGTCGGTGTGCTCGCCCGGACTGGGCCGGGCCCGAGCGTCCGTCCGAGAGCGGGTGGCCTGGGCCTGACGCACACAGTCCCTGCGTGGGTGTTCTCGTCCTTCTCTAATGCGCTCGGTCGCGACATCCCTTCCCGCGCCCGCACCGCAACCCGCCCTCCTCCCCCCGCGGGTCCCGCGGCCCTTCCGCATTCTTGGGCCCGCGGGGCGCAGCGCGGGGCGGGGTTGGCTGGGCGCGGGGCAGGCGCTGGAATTTGATCCGGGCGGGCTGCGATCTGCGAAGGTGTCGGGGTCCTCTGGAGTCGGAACTCGGGGCTGCCAGATTCAGCCAATAGACATACAGTTCGCCTAAATTTGGATTTAAGATAAAGGTTTTCCTGTGTGACGGGAAGGCAAGAGGGCGGCGCCCCGCGGTTTCCTGCACGCTCTGGAAACCCTTTCTCTTAAACTCGAGATAATCCTTTAACCTACTCCTTTCTTGCCCTCAGTTATGAGGTTTACGGCCTTATTAGGCGACGGCCTATGACTATTTCATTCTCCTTTCGAGAAAGTTGTATTCAAAGTGTTTGCTTTCCTTTAAGTTATGAAAAAGATGGCCATGGCACACACGCATATATCCAGGCGTATAAATAATGCTCTTGGCCAAAACAAAGGAAAACAGAGCTACGGATACAAGTTTTGTTCTAGATGTTGTTTGTGGCTATATTCTTGAGGATAGTTTCCCTTGCCTTGGAATAATGTAGATGAACAGCACCATATCAGGATAATGGAGGATAGTCAACCTAATAGCAAATCTTTATTGAGCACTTACTGCTTTAACATGTGCCAGATGATGGGGTGATGGGTAATTCAAAATCTCTCCCATCAGGGAGTTTATATTCTAAAAATCTTTATTAGAAATTCCTAGAAGGTAGGAACCCGTGTTCAGCACTCTGTTCAACAGTTTTAAACAGTAGCATGCATAAGAATAACCTGGAGTGTCGGTTAAAACAGATTCTTGAGACTTAAAACCCAGCACTAGAACTCAGTGGGTCAGGGGTGGAGGATAATTTCAATTTCTAGAAAGCACCAGGTGATGCTGATGCTGTGGTTCTCATCCAAGCAGCACCACCCTAAGTCCAGTTCATAACTGAGTACATTTTCCCAAGTGTTAGAAAAGACTGCTGACAAGTCACACCTGTTCTACAACATTTACACCCTTTCCCTTAGCTTCAGTCTGCTCTTGGCTTCCATAGATAAAATAATTTCCTTTCCATTCATCAGAAAACGTTGGCCTCTTGGGTCTGTCATAGAGCTTTTTCAAGTATGGTCTATTACTACCCTACGTGTATTCACCCTGGCCACCTTAAGATCATAGCTAAGCCATCCTAACTGTACTTTGACCTTGATTTCTGTATTTAAGAGTCTAGAACTGTGCTGTTCAATACAGTAGCCACTAGCAACATGTGGCTACTTGAACTTAATTTCAGTTCTTCAGTTGCATTAGACATATTTTTAGAGATGACATCTTACTATAGTAATAGACTGGAGTGCAGTGGCTATTCACAGGTGTCACCATAGTACGCTACAGCCTAAAACTCCTGAGCTGAAGTGATCCTCCCACTTCAGCAGCCTCCGGAGTAGCTGGGACTACAGCCACAGCGCCCCCCCCATTAGGCACATTTTAAGTACTCAATAGCCATTGGCTAGTGTCTTTATTGGACAGCATAAAAAATATTTCTGTTGGCCGGGCGTGGTGGCTCAGCCTGTAATCCCAGCACTTTGGGAGGCCGAGGCGAGAGGATTGTCTAAGCCCAAGGGTTGAGGCCAGACTGAGCAACATGGTGAGACCTCGTCTCTACACTAAATCACAAAAACTAGCTGGGCGAGGTGGCATGTGCCTGTAGTTCCAGCTACTTGGAAGGCTGAGGCGGAAGGATCGCCTGAGCTCAGCAGGTGGAGACTGCGGTGGCCATGAGCGTGCCACTGCATTCCAACCTGGGTGACAGAGTAAGACTCCAACTCAGAAAAATTTTTCTTTCTATTATTACGAAAAGTTCTAATAGATAGCACTGTTCTAAGGTATATTGTTCTCTCTAGATATAGAAGAAAAATATATTTTTTAATGAAGAGCTGGATATCTAAATACCTAGCACCGGGGAAATTGTTAATTACAGCATATCCATGTCAAAGATAGTTGTGGTAATTAAGAAGAATGGTTGAAAAAGTAATATACTAAAAACTCAAAGAAATAATGGGGCTATGCCAAAATATGAAACATTATTTGAGAAATATTAAACTAAAAAAGCAAGTTATAAACTAATTATTACAGCTCTACACTGTTATGTGGATAAACACTGGAGAAAAGTCATGACTCCTGCTGTTTGAACAGGCACAGACAAATCTAGAATAAAAGGATATATTCCTTGGAAGGACAAGTAGAAATGGGATAACAGTACTGGGAAAACTGGGCATTTCAACATGGGATTAGCTCCAACAATCCCTTTGCGAATAGAAAAGATTAAAATGAGGTTTCAGGGAAATCAAGAAATTGCACACTTGAGAAAGACATAATGACACACACCCAAGTCTGGGATATTGGCCTGTTTGGGAAATCGAGCATCCACTAGCTATTAGGCAAACTGATAGGCATTTCTTTTTGTTTTTTTGTTTTATTTACAGATAGGGTCTTGTACTGCTGCCCAGGCTGGAGTAGTGGCGCAATCATGGCTCACCCTGGTCTCGATCTCCTGGGCTCAAGAGATCCTCCCTTTGTCTCAGCCTCCCAAGTAGCTGGGATTACAGCATGCACCACCATACCCAGCTAACTTTTTGTTGTTATGGAGCTGGGATCTCACTATGCTGCCCAGGCTGGCCTCAAGCAATCCTTCCACTTTGGCCTCTAAAGTGCAGGAATGAGCCACTGTGCTCAGCCCTGATGGGCATTTCTATGCAGTCTTATTAAATCTCCATAACAATCTTTTAATGAAATTCTAGTTGGAAATAATTTACTAGCAGTTAGCTATAGACCTTTCTCTGGACTTCACCTTTTACTTCATCTTCAACTATACTCTGATCTTCACCTACTCACCAGAAGTATCCATTCTTTTTTCTAAGGATAATCTACACATGATCTAGCTTCTATCCCTTCCTAACTCTTGGACTTGACTCATTTTGTTTCACTAATTGGTTTCCCCTAGTTTTGTCTTCTTTCCCTGTTTAGAAAACAACTTGAAAGTCTATCTTAAACGATTTGCCCTGTGACCCTTCTCAGTAATCATTTTTTTGTGTTTCTAATGTTCACAGCAAACTCGGAGAGTACTGTGGCCTGTTTTACAGATGAGGAAACTGATACTTAAGAGTGACAGGTCCAAGAATTCAAAGCTAGTCAAATAATTGGTGCAATTCATGCAACCAAGTATGACTCTCATACTGCTCTTAATCATACTGATGCTGCTTTACACATTAAATGTTCCTATTGTTGAGTCACTGGCATTACTTCCATTTTATTTTTTATTTTTTTTAAGTCAGAGTCCCACTCTGTTGCCCAGGCAGCAGTGCAGTGGCACGCTCACAGTCACCGCAGCCTCGACCTGCTGGGCTCAGGTGATCCTTCCATCTGTCTTCCAAGTAGCTGGGACTACAGGCACGAACCACCACACCTGGCCAATTTTTTTGATTTATTATAGAGATGAGGTCTCACCAAGTTGCCCAGGTTGGTCTCGAACCCATGGGCTCAGGCAATCCTCTTACATCAGCCTCCCAAATGCTGGGATGATAGGCGTGAGCCATCACGCCTGGCCTACTTCCATAGTAAAATGTATAGACCAACGGAGGTTACATAACTTAAGGTTATAAAGCCATGATTTAGCAAAAAGACTTAACTGCAAGTTTACCTGACCCCTTAAACCTAGGCATTACCCACTACCCTGTGCTGCACAATGGATTATGCACTTAAAACTCTACCTAGTTGTACTGGCGAAATTGACTGACGACTTGTCAAATCTACTGGCCTCATTTACACTTCGGCATTCTTGACTTTGTTGTGCTCTAACAATACTAACCTCCTCACTCTTGAAATTAACTTGGCTTCCATAACACTGTTTTTTGTGGCTCTATTTACCCCTTTAAGCACTTTTGTCGTCATCTCTCAGACCCTTAAGTCTAAATGTGTAACTCCTGCTGTTTCTCTTCTTTTCACTTTGTAGAAAAGATTCCTTCTCAAAACTTGCCTTTATAGTCTGGTCTTCCTTTTTTTCCCAGTTGCATTTAACTTCTGCTTTAATCAAGTCATAGATTCCTTGGCCATGTAAGATTTAGGGTCTGGAGTCCAAATGACAATACTGTCATAAGCAGGGGGATAAGGATGCTGTCCCCGTTAGACTGGTTTCATCAGAGCTTTTGAAATGGTTAAGTGTGACTTGCATCATGAAAACTGACTTTATTATTATTATTATTATTATTGAGTTGGAGTCTCACTCTGTTGCCCAGACTGGAGTCCAGTGGCACGCTCCCAGCCACCACAGCCTTGACAGGCTGGGCTCCGGCGATCGTTCTGCCTCAGCCTTCCAAGTAGTCGGAACTATAGGCGTGCGCTACCATGCCCAGCTAACTTTTGATTTATTGTAGAAACGAGGTCTCACCAAGTTGCCTGGGTGGGTCTCGAACCCACAGGCTCAGGCAATCCACTCACCTTGGCCTCCCAAAGTGCTGGAATTACTGACTGAGCCACCGAGCCCGGCCTGAATTTATTATTTTTATACAGACAAGATCTCATTGTGTCACCTAGGCTAGAGTGCAGTGGTGGGATCATAGCTCGCTGTAATCTCGAATTCCTGGGCGGAAGTGATGATCTTCCCTCCTCAGCCTCCTGAGTAGCTGGGGCTATAGGCATGTGCCACTACACCCAGTTTATCATGGAAGCATTTTACAGACTGATTTTTCAGTCAAACCCACTGTTGGAGTAGATGTGTTTACCTGTTTATTGGCAATCATTCTTGTTTAAGCAAAGCCTAGTTTACTAAGCAGAGAATGCTAATACTAAATCAAGAGACTTATTTCATTCAGGGTAGATCATCTACTGTTCATAATGAAGGTTGGATCTTTAAGCAGTTATCTGAAATGGAAATAGGGACACTGCAGGAAATAATTTCAGTAGTATCTTTTTCTGTAGTGGAAGCAATGTTATTTGTTCTCACTAGAGATTTAACAAAGTAGAGGTGATGATTTTTCTATTTTTTTAGTGGAAATGGAAATTCAATTCAACAAACAACATTTTAGGAGCATGGCCATAATCTAGAACAAGTATTTTGCTTAACCACTGAATAAAATTCAGGAACAAATAAAAGGCAAGGAATTAAGGCAGGTTCTAGGATTTTAATCTTGAAGAAGGCAAGGACTAGTTTTTATTAGTCCTTGTACCCCTATTCTATATAGTTGGGTTAAAGGATCTAGCTGAAGTGACCTATTGAGTGCAAAGGCATACTGCCCAGAGGGCCATTCAGCAGTTGTTTACTGAATGAGGTAATGGTTTTGTCCAAGGATAATCTTGTTAATAGTATCAGAAAACTTGAAGTTATTAAAGTAATTGTCAATTACTCATCTTCATAAGCTAACTGTCAACTCCTTCCAACATTTCAAATCTTAAACTTATAAATCTTTGGGTCAGAATTTTGAAGCACTTTGAGAGTTGGATTTGAAACCTGGAGAATGAAACTGTCTACCACTCCCTGATTAATTCTGAAACAGTCCTGCAGATCTGCAAATAACACAAGTTATTTTTAGAACTGAAATAATGACCTCACTTTCCCAGGCATGTAGCTTCAGCTGTTTTGATTGTGGGCAGGTCAGGAATGTCCAAAACTCAAAGATGGGCTCATATGAATCTCTGCATAAACAAACATGATCTTTCAATAAGGACTGCTATGTTAAGTAAAAGCTACATATAATTTTCAAAATATTGTACCGTATTTCCAACATGTTGAAATACAACACAAAAATCTCTTTCTGGTAGTATTCCACAGAAGCTTTGGAGCTATAGCTTTAAAAATAGGACAAATTAAAATTATACTCAGTGGCCAGGTCTAATTTTAAATGACATGAAATAATGTATGAAAGCTTAGATAAAGCAGAAACGTTGGCAGGCATGTCAAATTCAAGGACATAAAGCTACCAAAACTATCACATGTATGCAAATTCTGCAGGAAATTATTTTTAAAATTGGAAGACAAAGTGTAGGAAACCTGCTTGGGGCAGTTAAAACTGGATTCTGGTGGGGGTGGGGCATGAGGGAAGTGGGGGAGAGAATAGGTAGGAGTAAAGGAGACAGCTTTGTCAGGAAGCCTGGAGGGAAGGGAAAGGTCCAACAACCATATCCTTTTCCAGGATTTACCTCATCTTCCTCTCTTTGGAAGATGCAACTAAAACAAACAACAGCCAACTTTGGTAAATAAGCTTAAACAAGTTAGTATTTTATCATAAAGTTTAATTATGGTTCAGAAAAAATTGAGTGAATAACTTTCTCTGAAAAAATATATTGACTCTGTAGGCTGCAGTTATGGGGGAGGGGCTGGTAAGTTAAATTACCCTATTTTCTATTCTGAAAATGGCAAAAAGTCCCATTTCCAGTCTGGAAAGATACATCATGATACATGTGCCCCAAATGGCTGAGAATAAATACAACAGAAAAGGCAAAAGCTGTAAAGCTAAGGGCATGCAAGAGAAAAATCTCAGAAATACCCAAAGTGGCAACAAGGAACATTTGGCTGGAACTTGAAGTTCTTTTCAGTCATCTTTGTCTTTCGCTCCATGTTTAAGGATGCGCGTGAACTCGATGTAGTTGAAATTCCCCTTTTTGTCGATAGGTGCTTCTCTGTACAGCTCGTCCACTTCCTCGTCTGTGAACCGGTCCCCCATGGTTGTCAGCAGCTCTCTCAGGTAATCTTCCTGGATGGTGCCTAGAAAATAAAGAACTGGGGGTCAGAATACTCCTCTGAGGCTTAATTATAAGGACTAGCTACACTTAGTCAAGCATGTTCTGTATGTTGAAGACTATAAACACACAAATATATGAAGTACATATACTTAAGGCAGTCTCAGCAGAGCTGCCTAGAAAACGCCCAGCTGCTTAGCAGCATTACTCTGCTCTGTCAATCCACCTCCACATCCACCTTCTGATCAATTGAAAATGGGGACTAAACCTATGCCCAAACAAAGGTAATAAAAAGTGTGGTACAGGAATCTAAGTCTCATGGCTCCTTAAAGGAGCATGAATGGTCACACTCATCCTACAAGCAAATAACAGTTACCTGTCACACTAAAATCAACAACACACCACAAACATCAATAAAGTGTTTCAGTGGAAAGGATACTGGAGTCTTGAGGCCCAGTTTTAACAAGCTATATTATTTCAAGCATTTCACTTTACCTCTGATTTTGGTTTTCTCATAAGTAAAATGAGATTTTAAAATTAATTATTGCAAATCTAATTATTATATAATAACACATATGGCCAGGCCCAGCATGGGCAAAATCACAGAAGAAATATTTCAGCATCAACTACATTGCAAACACTGTGCTAGGCAGTGGGGACGTACAGTGGTAAGCCAAAAGGTGTGCTTTCTACTCTAGGTTTTTGATTTCAGGGTTCTTGTGAAACCTGCTTGCCTATACCAATCACATGTTGCACCTGACTTATTATCTGGTGTCGCTATTTTTAAAAGGTTTCCCAAGTAACTTGCAAGTGCATGTGGGGAGCCTTGAAGGCCAGAGTGAGACTATGTTTCCATCAGCCAGCCCTGACAATAACCCAGTATTTAAACTAGTCCAACCAGTGCAGGTAACCAAAGGGTGTGCCGTCCTTCTCAAAAAACACTTGACTATGCCATGTGAGTTGGGAATCGTAGAATATACTCCCTTATATGTTTCTCTTATATACATTTCTGCCAAAGGACCAGGCATTTATATAGTTAACATTTCATGTTCTTGAGAGTTAACTTGATGCCAGGCAGTATCCTAAGCACTGTGCACGTTACCTAATTTCTTCCTTTAATCCTCATGACAACCCTATGAAGAAGGCAATATTATTGCCCATTTACAAATAAAAAAACAGAGGCTTAGAAAAGTAACTGCCACAAATTACATAGCTATTATGTAGCAGAGAAAAAAAATTGACACCAGGTAGTCTGATTCCAGAGCCTCAGCTCTACTTGGTTTATTTTAAAATAGAGGTTAAACAGTTTTAGATTTAAACAATTTTAGAGCTAAGAGATACCTGGCAGACAAACACAGGATTGTACTGGTGCCACGGTCTATAACAATTTATACTTTATCCAAAATTGCTCTAATAAAAGTTATTTAACACATATTTACGGAAAGTCTAACCCTTGTGGAGTCAACATTCCAGTAATAAAGTAATGTACGTTTCCCAAAGAGGTACCAAATTCAACCTATTCAATTGTAAACTACTAACATTTATTCAGCAAAGTGACTGATGAATACCCCAAAAGAGAATCCTGTCCAAAAAAATAGGCATGGCATAAACTTGAGGGTGTCATGTCACCACGTTTCAAGTTTCTATACATTTTAGTTACTATAACTAAAAATTAAATCACGTTGTAATTAAAGGTTACCTCTCACTTACCAGTTGCTTCTTCATCAAAGCAAGCAAAAGCATTTCTGATGACATCTTCAGGATCGGTGCCATTTAACTTCTCACCAAACATGGTGAGGAACATGGTGAAATTGATAGGGCCTGGAGCCTCATTCATCATGGCATCCAGATACTCATCAGTTGGATTTTTCCCTAAATAAAACAGAGGGTCATAATTTTCATTACAGTTCAACTATTAAGGATAGTAAACATTTTGGCAAGAAAGATTATCATTCATAGAGTTTGCTGTTTGTATTAATGGCAGCAAACTATTTGGGGGAAAAAGTCTTCATCAATAGGGCCTATATTAAGAGTCTGGAGATTATATGACACTTCACTGGGATGTTAGAAGGAATAATGTTGCTTTCATAATCAAGATCAGTATTTTGCACTTACACACTTACACACACGCGCGCGCGGCCCCCAGCCCAATCCTGTGATAGGGCCAGGAATCTGCAGGAGGCCTAGTGGGGAAACACTACTCCAGAATTTACTTGAACCTTAGTAGACTCATTAGACAGGCTCTGTGAAGCTTTAAGACTCAGGAAGTAAACATGAAAGGCACTGTGGAAATTCTATTTAATAGATTAAGATGAAAAGACTGAGTAGTACCTAGTGAGGCAAGCATATCATGCAAATCTTCCTTATCAATGAAACCATCTCTGTTTTGATCAATCATATTGAAGGCCTCTTTGAACTCCTGGATCTGTGACTGGTCAAACATGGCAAATACATTGGATGTAGCGCGCTGAGGGCGCTTCTTGGTGGTCTTGGTCTTTGCCCTTTTGCTTGACATGGTGGTGGTTAAATCCTAATTAGGAAAGGAAATACAAGGAAAACCAAATCAACATCTAAAATTACATGTCAGAATCGTAACAATGATTAACAAAAGTAAACTGAATCAACTAAGTACTACTTAGTCCTCTAAGTAGTAATATCTAAGTAGTTCAAACATATCAGGAAAGTTAATTACATATCTTGGTAAAAATCTCTCTCAACAACCATTACTCACAGAACCAAACTAAAAGCGAAACACTCATGCTACGAGTTCACTCACCCTTCTAGTTGTGAGGTTTTAACAATGGCCCGTTACTAATTTCAAATTCCAAACTAGTCCAACATTAATTTAAAGCTCACAGCATGGCAACAAGATTAATATTCCCTATACTGCTATTATCTTAACAACTGGTAACCAAACATGCTGGTTTAATAACAATAAAAAAACTAAGAAGTAAAAAACTTGGGAAACAATGCCAGGTTCTATACTTCAGCGCTTAGAGGTACTGAAGAAGACTAATTCAGTTTTAATAGGTCCACCCTTCCAGAGTCCTAGCCTGAACTATCTGTCTCATTTTATGGTAGGAAGGAAGGAGTAGGAAAGAGGACTAACCGATGGACAGTCTTCATCTCCTAATCTCTACTGCTAAATATTGTTCTTCCACTTTCAACTAACATTTCTTATTGTACCTCACTTCTGGGCTCAACATAGTTCAAGAAACATATTTGTTGAAAGGCTACCAGAAAAGTATAAAAAGCTGAAGTTAATGTATCTATAACTTATAGATATTACCCTCCATTCAAACCAGTTTCTTGCCTATACTAAATCACTTAAAAGTATCTAAGATCTCTAAGCAGAAGTCAGAGAACAAGTTCTTAAAGCAATTTAGTATTAAAAATTTTAGAAAACATCTTAAAAGGTATAGAAACTACCTTTTCTCTCTAATTATCTAAATTTATTCCTGTAAAATTTAAGCTAAAAATAAAAAGAATGTCCAATAATACCTAAAATTAAAAGACAATTTTCATTTCAATAATCAATCTTTTAGAAGACTATAGAAATTTGTTTGAAGCGGAAAAAATCCCATAGTCAACAGATAATAAAATTCTACTGTACCATCCTTCAGAGTTGAGGTGGAGATGGTAGTCTGCAAAACCACGAAACAGCAAAAGACACTATATTGAGTTATATTCTTCCAACCAGGTCTAAAACAGGCACCACTGATTTCACTCTGACCAGGATAACAATTTTAAAGCTTACGTTCTGAAAACAACATTTAGCTATGATGTGGCAAAACACTATGCCATTGCTCTAAAAATAAGTCTCTGGACTGCAAAGAATGAACTCTACTACCTAGATGTCAGCTCTCCACAGTGACCCTAAGAATACAATGTTTCCTATGTTGTTTAAAAAGTTATTCCTTACATTCTTTCCTTGATTATAACCACATCACCCAGACTAAATTCGATCATGGAAATAACTAGAAAAGCTCTGCCTCAAATTTTTTAAAGCTAAATGTGTTTTCAGATTTTAGTAGGAAATTCCACAAAGGGTAGTCACAAATTCCATCCCATCTAATATAGCACTCTATGGTGCTACATTGGAATGTAGTGCTGGAAGACAGAGCCTACATAGCACAGAAGTCATGATATATACGCCCCCAAATTTCCTAGAATCCTCTAATCAACCTTTAGAAGGCTGCCTTCCGTGTCTTATTTATGAATGCATATTTTCATTCTATAACACCATTTGGGGTTAGTAAATCTCACTATTATCTAAACCACACAGACTTGTACTTTTCCCCTCTATTCTAAATGTTATCTTAAAAATTACAAGGAGTTATAGAGTATATTATTCCTCTGTCTCTAAAATATACTCAGAGACTTGGGGCAAGTGGTTGAGACCCAGTGAATGGCACCTATTTACCAGTTCATTCTCTCTTCAATACTTCAGGAATGTCGTGCCTCTGCAAGTCAAAGCCCATCTTTAAAAATAGACTGGTGTAACAACATTGTCTTCCCCTATGATGCAGAAATGTCAGCTATTTTAAGAACAAAGACACTGATGAGAATTTAAAGGTCAAAGGGCTGACACAAATGATTTTTTAATCTATAAAGTCTCACATTAGTAAATTTTGATGGGGGCCCGCTAGATACTTTTCAAAATGCTTAGTTTTGGTTGTTAAGCTATACATACGTTTTTTAAATTCTGATTTATGTCCTATTCTTTTAATCATGCATTTTTTGAATGAACAAATACATCATAAAAGTTTTATTTATTTTATTTTATTTTATTTTGAGTTAGAGTCTCACTCCGTCGCCCAGACTGGAGTCAGTGGCATGCTCCCAGCCAGCGCAGCCTCGACCTGCTGGACTCCGGCGATCCTTCCGTCTCAGCCTTCTAAGTAGCTGGAACTATAGCCTCGCTATGATGCCTAGCTAGTTTTTTATTTATTGTAGAGACAAGGTCTCGCCAAGTTGCCCGGGTGGGTCTTGAACCCGCAGGGGCTCAGGCAATCCACTCACCTCAGCCTCCCAAAGTGCTGGGATTACAGGCTGAGCCACCGAGCCATGCCTATCATAAAAGTTTTTAAAAGTTAAGTTTTGTTTTGGTCAGCACTGACAGGGGTCTCACATAGAATTCTTTAGCTCACGCAATACTTAATCTTATCAATCTTAGAACAATCAGTTAATTACACTAATATGCATCAAATGTCATTAGTGTTGAATACTAGTTAAGAGTTAAAGCCGGGCTCGGTGGCTCAGCCGGTAATCCCGCGCCTTTGGGAGGCTGAAGTGAGTGGATTGCCTTAGCCGTGGGTTCGAGACCCACCTGGGCAGGCGATACCTCATCTCTACAATAAATCACACACACACAAAAAACCAGCCGGGTGTGGTAGCGCATGCCTGTAATTCTGGCTACTCAGAAGGTTGAGGTGGAAGGATCGCCGGAGCCCAGCAAGTCGAGGCTGCGGTGGCCGGGAGTGGCCACTGCACTCCAGTCCGGGCGATCGAGTGAGACTCCAACTCAAAAAAAAAAAAAAAGAGTTAAGAAACATAAGGCATGTGTCCTATCTTCAAGGAGCTTAAAATATGTTGGGGAGGCAACTATAAAGACATGAGATGACTGGTTCAACTTATGAAATGAGCCACATAGTTTTCATTCCAGAAGCATGACTCTAAAGTCAAAACAATTCATAACAATAATGAAAAATAACTTATAAGATGGTACATAATTAACAAATACTGTGAGTTCAGAAAAGATCTTTATGAGTAGTTAAAAGACTGGGGAGGGAGAAGACCTTAAAAACCCTAAATGGTATCATTTACAAGCTACAAGACAGAATTACAATTAAGCAATTTGGATGTTAGTCTCAATCCTAACAAATTAAGGTAGTTAATTCTACCAGAAGAAACTCAGTGTACTCTTGAGCAAATCACTACCTGGGCCTTTACTTTTTCAGGGAGGCTGGAGTCTGAGCTACAAGTTTATCCCCCACCAGAACCTGGAGTCTTTCAGTGATAGGGAGTTCAGCTTCACAGTCATAGTTCTGAACGAAAAGTATGGGTGAAACAAACACTGATGGAGGGAATCACATCAGGAACAGTGCTAAGACCTCAAGACCTCAAGGAGCAGATTGCTTTTGATATCTGCAGTGTCCTCTATGCTATGATTCTAATTTGCTGTCCATTTTACTTTCCCTCAAACAAGTGAGACTGTAACTTCAGGTAACAAGCCTTCAGCAAATGCACAACTCTCACAAACGTTTAGAAAGTCAGGGTACAGTAAAATTGAAACCATTTCATACATCAGTATAAAGATTCTTTATGGAGGATGGCAAGATTGTCAGGTAAGCAAATTATGAGGTTCCCAAATTATGAAGATTTTCAATCATAAAGCTGAGTCTTTATTTCTGAAGTGAAAGGTCTTTGGTGTGAAAGGGACATTTGTTGTATGAAACTTGAAAGCAGGGAGATTTACAGAACAGGGTTCTACAAAATATATGAGGGCTTCAGATGCATGAGGAAGTGAATAAAGGCCAGTCAAGGAGGTTGTTTACAGATCTAAATGAGCGTAGTCATTCCAATTCAATATAGTACTGGAAAAAAAAAATTAAAGGAACATAACCTTGTTTTAAGTCAGGGGAAGGGAGTACTGGTGGTAATGAAATTGTGGTTTTTGCTTTTTTTTTAAGCTCGATGAGATGGCAAGAGTATCACTAAGGGCTATGACAAAAGGAGGAAAACAAACTATGCTTAAGAAAGATGTTAGAATAGATTAAGAAAGATCTAGATCTTAATCTTTCTTAAGAAATGGAATGATCGTCAAAGAGGCTTTCTCCACATACTTTGGGCAAACAGACTTTCCAGAATCTTTAGAAACTATAATTTTATTTATAAAATGGGACTAGTCCACACTAATACATAGATTGCTCTAGTTGGAATCTTACAGCTTAGCAGTTATAAAGTGGTAATACACGTAAAATAATCTAGAAACTTCTTCTACAGAACTAACACTCAAATTGGAAATATTCTGAGACATAGGATATATTCTTTTTCTTTTTGAGTTGGAGTCTCACTCTGTGTCCCAGACTGGAGTGCAGTGGCCGCTCCCGGCCACCGCAGCCTCGACCCACTGGGCTCCGGCAATCCTTCCGCCTCAGCCTTCCCAGTAGCCGGAACTACAGGCGCGCGCTACCACGCCCAGCTAATTTTTTGTTTTTATTGTAGAGATGAGGTCTCGCCAAGTTGCCCAGGCGGGTCTCGAACCCGCGGGCTCAGGCAATCCACTCACCTCAGCCTCCCAAAGGCGCGGGATTACAGGCTGGGCCACCGAGCCCGGCTAGGATATATTCTTTAATTAAAAACTCCCATCTTAGAAAACATTTCTTAGTGTGACATCATCAAGTATTTGGTCTGCTTTCCAAACCTTGACCAAATCTACCGTCTCATTTAATCAATGCAATTTTTTAAACCTAAGTATAGGGAGTTATTTGGTGCTAACCACAATTTCTTGAATGCATTTTCAAGTTGGTGCTTCCGTTCCAACTAAACCAAGTTTTCGTTTCTTACGCAAACTTCCGGTTGAATACGGTAGGATTAGTTCTTAGACGGCCACACCCAAAAGTTCTTACCACTTGACCAAGACCTACTACTTGCCAGTAAAGCCTCGAATTTGACAATAAAACGCTCTGCTGGCCCACGTTTATCAACGCTTTCCAGAACATGAAACAAATACCAGTAACTTTAAGAAATATGTGCGCTCTTCTCTTTCAGATATAAAACTGTTCACACTTAAAAAGTTAAAAATCTCTAGCGAATCCACAGGTCTCTAAAGAACGGATACATTCTTTCGTATACCCACGAAACTATTTTTCTGAATCGAAGTCTCACTCTGTCGCCCGGGCTGGAGTGCAGTGGCACGATCACAGTCCACATCTGCCTTGACCTCCAGGGCTCAGGCGACCCTTCCACTTCAGCATCCCGAGTAGCTGGGACTACAGGCGCGCGCTACCGCGCCCGGCTAGTTTTTTGCTTGTTTTTGTAGAGATGAGGTTTCGCTATGTTGCCCAGGCTGGCCTCTACACTACGTTACAAGACCACGCTTCTTTTGGCGAACTGACTCGTCCCAAATTCTCCACCCACAAGTGACAAGGTATTGCATCTTGGAATTTTTCCTCGAGGCGCACACTAAACCCCAAACTCCTCTTTGTCCAAATAGCCCTTAAAGAAAAAAAGTTCTAATTACAGGAGCGGAGCCTGAGCTGAGGAAGTTCCAAATTTGAGTCGGTTATTCCCACTAAACGCATTCACACAGCAGCAACAACAGCTGCACCAGAGGGGAACACCGGGCGACGGTTTTTGCGCAAACTCTCCTGAATCGGGCAAGTGTGCGCTGGAAACTAAACATAGTCCGGGAGTCAGCTCTGCAGGGCTCGGGTTTCGCGGGCCCCGCAGTCGCCCAAGCTCAAGGCGCCAGCGAACTAAGCCACACTTCCCGAGCGCCAAGTTTGGGCACCGGAGCGAAGTTTGCCTCCGGGCCACTTCCGGCCGTGGCCACGGCTCCAGCCCGAGGACCTGCCTGGTACACCTGCCCAGGTGCGCTCCTGCGCCGGGAGCCCGCCACGGAGCTCCCCTGCCCACCCAGCCGCCCTGCGGAGACGGGCCCCGGGGTGGGTCTCACGCGCCCGACCGCGAGCACCACTCACCCGACACAGCCACGAGAATCCGAGCGCCTCAGTCACAACTTTGCCGCCGCCACCACCACCCTTCTACACCAAGAGCCGCTAAAAACCAGCACTTCCGGCCCCGCTTAGCAAACCGGAAGGAAGCCGGGTCACCATTCTCGGCCAGGAGCGTGGGCCCCTGACAATGCCAGGGCGAAGGGGAGGGAGGTGGCCAATGTGGTCAGCGGGCCAGTACTGACCAAGTGCATGGGAAGGAAATATAAAGCGGGCAACTTAGGACATACTGTCATATGTAATGGTTCGTGGGGTCCGTTTACTGAGTTTCCATCTTTTTGGTCTCTCTTCTTGCGGTGTAAGTCTCTCTCCCCCCTTTCCTTTCCGCAGATGGTTGCGTCTGTCCTGTGGCTTTGCCTCTCGGCACATTCCAGAGCACGGCGAGGGGCGGGGTCCGTTAGTCCAAGTCCTTGTAGGGAAATCACCGAGAGGGCTGCGGGACCCACGTGACCGCTCCCGGCCCCGCCCCCGAGCGCTGGGCGACAGCCGTCGGGCAGTAGTGCGCCTGCGCGCGCGCCTGCCGCCCCACGCCGGCTTGGCGTCTCCGGCTGAGGGTCCCACTGCGGTCCGCAGAGCCCGGGGCCTCACGGGGACCCGCACAGGGAACCCTTTATGTAAGCGACTTGATCTCTGAGTGCAATATTATTTTATGAAGAATCCCACTCGTTTCACACAGGAGGAAACGTCCTGAAGTCCCGGGGTTCCTGAGCCAAGCGCCCACTCTCCTTTTGACCCAGACAGATTTCCTAAAGCCACGAGTGGCTGAAGGCTTCCCCCCTCTTCAGAAAAATGTCCTGTTATTTTTCCCTACCAGAGCCCCTTGAACCCTGATTAACAAGAGATCCCGATGGGATCCGACTGGGAAGGAAGACAGGCCACCCTGGCCCCTGCCTCTCACTAGGATGAGGACTCGCGCCCTGGTGAAAAGAGGGATGAAAAAGTGGGTCTGTTGTCAGCTCTTCCTTGACGAGGACAGTTTGTAACAAGGCGTCTGGTGACAGGAAAAGAGAAGACCGCCCAATTCCATCTCTTTTCCATCCAGAGCCCGAGAGGGAGACTTGTCCTGGGGCCCCCAGCTCTCGGACCCCGTGTACGGAGGGGGTTGGGTCCAGTAACCCTCAGAGCATCATCCCGCCACCAGGGTCCGGACACTAGTTTGGCTCCCGTGGTCAGGGCAGTGCTGAAGTTCGGGGTGGCCCTAGGGTCCGCGCCCTCAAAGCCGCTCTCGCTTGGATTCTTCTGAAAAGGAAGTCGTTACTCTAAACAATGCGGAATACTACATTTTAACTTTTCCCGTGTTCCTTCTTTATGGAACTCGGGAGTCTTCCGTCCATTATCCAGGCACATTCCAACGTTGACTTAGAGGTAAAGCCATTGGGGGCGGGGTGGGGGGTATAACTGCCGTATAGGTGACTGAAACGAGGGTGAGTTTTTTCCTCCAAACTTCCTTGATGGAATCAGTGGGGGTGCCAGTTCAAAATACAAGGAATTTTCATTTTCCAACCCACTGCATCAGAATCTGCGAGGGCAGGTCCTGGGAAGCCGTCGATGTAACAGGGGTCTTAAGTGACGCTTATCAGCGAAGCTGGGGACGCAGAGCTGGACGCAGGCAGGGCCAGCGCCCGCTCCAGACGGCTGCCTGGCGGAGGCTGCAGTTGGCGTTGTACTTGGAGTTTGGCTGGGACGGCCCGTGCCAGCTCCTGCAGTGCACCAACACCTCCACAGGGTGGCGGCCTACACCACGGAGAGCCCCGCCTTCCGGACGTGTTGCAGAAGGGAAACGACGTCACAATGAGATGGATAGTTGAGTTCTCCCCTCGTCTCGAAGGCGGCATTCTTTTGCTTCTTGGGTGTCAGATGGTTGCCTTGTTAGGCTTCCTTCCTCTCCGTCACTCAGCAGATGTGAAACAGCTGGCTGCTGCACTGCCAATCACAGTGGCGGGGCTGTGGTTTATGCCTTTTGGAATAGGACCCGGTTGCTGCCTCCGGGAGTGTAAGGGTGTAGGGAACAAATGTGGAACAGATGCTGCACGGTTAGGAATGGCTTGTTGCAGAGCACAGAGGAGGAAACAGACCTGTCTGGGGACCCGTGGAAGGTGGGAAGGTGTCCCCCAGAGAACTATTAAACAGCTGACTCTAGAAGCCAGGCGAGGAGAGAGATTCCAGGCAAAAGGATGTCTGGAGGGGACCAGAGGGCCGGGTTGATTGGAGATTAACAGACGTTGTGTAGTCTGTGTTCTTCATTCATTTATTCATCCCACAACTAGCTATGAATATACAAAGGTTAGCAAGCCAGTGTGGAAAAATGAAATCTTCTTAGTAAAATGGTCTTCATGGCCTGGCACGGTGGCACAGGCCTGTAATCCCAGCACTTTGGGAGGCTGGGGCAGGGTGATTGCTTGGGCCCAGGATTTCAAGACCAGCCCGGGGCCAATATAGCAACACCTCATCTTTACCAAAAAAAAAAAGTTAGCCAGATATGGTGTCACACACCAGCTGCTCGGGAGACTCGGGGGGGAGAATTGCTTGAGCCCAGGAGTTCGAGGCTGCCAGTGAGCTGTGATTGTGCCACTGCACTCCTGCCTGTGTGACACAGAGTGAGACGCCAACTCCAAAAAAAAAAAAAAAAAAAGTGTTCTTCAAATTTCCAACTAATGTTTAGATGTTTAATTTTGATGAATGGAAGTACCACCAGAGGCTTCTGGCTTTTTCTGCTATCTCTGTGCTTTTGGACCCTACAGGAGATCTTTGCCCTCAGGTGATAATCTGCTTTCCACTTTTTTTAAAAAATATTTACGCCGGGCTCGGTGGCTCAGCCTGTAATCCCTTGCCTTTGGAAGGCTAAGGTGAGTGGATTGCCTGAGCCCGCAGGTTCGAGACCCGCCTGGGCAGCGAGACCGCATCTCTACAATAAAAAAAAATCAGCCGGGCGTGGTAGCGCATGCCTGTAATTCTGGCTACTCGGAAGACTGAGGCGGAAGGATCGCCAGAGCCCAGCAGGTCGAGGCTGCGGTGGCCAGGAGCGGCCACTGCACTCCAGTCTGGGCGACAGAGTGAGACTCAAACTCAAAAAAAAAAATTTATTTATTTTTAACTTTATTTTATTATAAAGATGTGAAGTACAAGTCAGGATTAAGTATACAAGTAACCTATGTGCAGGTGAAGTTTGGACCTCCAACTGGTCCTTACTTTCCCCTGGTTTAGTTACAGGTACACTTTGTGTTGTTATGCTCCCACCCCCCCACCCCCAGGTAGTGTCCCACGACTGCCAATACCTCCCGTGTGCTATTGTGGTTAATGTTCAGGTCCCACTTATGAGTAAGAACATGTGGTATTTGGTTCTTTGTTTCTATGATAAATTAGTAAGCATGATTGTCTCCAACTGCATTCAATTTGCTGCAAAGTCCATGATTTTGTCCTTCTTTATGGCTACATAATACTCCATCGTCTGTATGTACCACATTTTCCTTATCCAGTCCACTTTTGATGGACAGTAGGTTTGGTTCCATGTTTTAGCTATTGCGAATAGTGTGGTAATAAACATGCGTGTGCAGGTGTCTTTTTTGGAGAACAATTTGTGTCGCTCTGGGTGTATTCCCAGAAGGGGAATTGCTGGATCATATGGAAGATCGCTTTCTAGTGCCTTCAAAATCACCACACTGTTTTCCATGAGGTTGAACTAGTTTGCATTCCCACCAACAGTGTAGAAGTGTCCACTTTTCTCCACACCCATGCCAGCATCTGTTGTTTTTTGATTTGTTAATGATGGCTATCCTTACTGGCATTAGGTGGTATCTCAATGTGGCTTTGATTTGTATTTCTTTGGTGAGGTTCAGTATTTTTTCATATATCTCTTGGCTACTCATATGTCTTCTTTTGAGAAGTGTCTATTTGTGTCCTATACCTGTTGTTTAATAGGGCTATTTTTCCTTTCCGCTCATTTGAGTTCCTTGTAGATCCTGGATGTTAGGCCTTTGTAAGATATACAGTTGGCAAATATATTTTCCCATTCTGTGTATTGTCTCCCACTCTTTTGTTGGTGTTTGTTTTTTTTTTTTCTCTGCAAAACCTTTTCAGTTTGATGAGGTCCCACTTGTCTATCTTATCTTTTATGGCATACACTTTTGGGGACTTGATCAAGAGTCGGTTGCCTACTTCAGTGTGCATAAGAGTGTTTCCTATGTTTTCTCCTAGGATTCTTATAGTTTGAGGTTTTACATTTAGCTCATTGATCCATTTAGAGCTGATTTTTATAGATGGTGATAGGTAGGGGTCCTGTTTCATTCTTCTGCATGTGGTCATTTTGATACACCAGCAGCAAACAGGCAGAGAACCAAATAAAAAGCACAATCCCACCTAGAGCCTGGACACCCTGAAACTGTAATTACTAAAGATTCATGGAGATTTTTGGGCATTCAGTTATGGGATAATTTTTAAAGCAGTGACAGATAACTAATTTAAGTATCACAAAAAATAAATCTATAGCAACTTGAATACTAATGACTGTCTTGAAAATTTATTCGTAAAATTGAGAACAAAACCAAAGTATCTTTAACAACTTTTTGCAGATTGTTTATTTTTATTAGAAATGTTTGACAGTACAACTAGAAAAGAAAAATAAATAAAATACATAAAATTTTTAAGATAAATATAAAACTCTCATTATTTTTACAGAATGTATTTGTGTCTCCTACCTCACACAATAAACAAAAATAAATTCCCAGTGGATTATATATCTAATTATAAAAGGTAAACAATAAACAATATTTTTTTAAATAAGAAAAAAAGCACAATCCCACTCACAATAACCACAAAAAATGAAATATCTTGTTATCTATCTAACCAGAGAAGTAAAAGATCTTTACAATGAGAACTACAAAACATTGCTCAAAGAAATAAAAAATGACACAAACAAGTGAAAAAACATCCCTTGCTCATGGATTGGAAGAATGAACATTGTCGAGATGTCCATCCTACTAAAGGCAATGTACAGAGTCAATGCAATACCCATCAAATTACCAACATCATTCTTCTCAGTCCTGGAAATGATGGTACAGAAATTTATATGGAAACAAAAAAGAGCACAAGTAGCCAAAACAATCCTCAGCAAAAGGAACACAGTGGAAGATATCATACTTCTGGACTTTAAACTCTACTTTAAGGCCATAGTAATCCAATCAGTTTGTTACTGGTACAAGAACAGGCATGTAGACCAATGGAATAGGACAGAGATTCCAGAAGCAAAAACTCAGTCTCCCAACCAACTTATCTTGGACAAAGCCATCAGTAAAAACTAATGGGGAGAGGAGAACTTATTTAGCAAATGGTGCTGGGGAAACGC